ACGGATGTATGGTAACCCTATTTAATTCCAAAACCCAGAATCTTACCTATAATAGTAAGAACAGATTTACTCACACTGATTTTGGGCTAGCCCACTCATAACACCTACAAAGTTTTCTGTCATTGCTTCCTCTTGTTAAGCTAGCTTTCCATGTGTCTCCTTCCTCCCACTTGATATTCTCTTTCCCGACTCTATCTTGACATTAGGCATTGGTCTCTGTTGTAGATCCTTGTCAAATGATTCAGTGAATGCCAATGTATGTATAGAATGTCTCTGGCCTACCAGAATCTCTCTGACAATCCTGCATACGAAACCAAATATTTTTATCCCTTATTTGGTTCCTTCCATTGTGATCACCCATAACATTTCTTGTGTAGCAGCAGCACAGAGGCTTTCACTTCATGAAAGTGTAGATTACTGATGTCAGAGAACTACTTGTTTTGGTTAGCAGAAAGGCTAGAGATAAATAATTCACAGTGTGACTGACTGTCACTGAATGCAGCTGAGAGCTCGAGGGCTGCAGTGGCACATTGAGAATCTGTATAACTGAGCAGGCACCAGGTCAACAGTGGGTCAGGAGGCGAAATGGATCTACAGGAGTCTTAAGAGTAAACTCTGGACTCTACTGGACTATTCAGGGAGATGCTTGCAAAAGCAGCCTTGTGAACTTACGGAAATGCTCTTAGACCAGCAGGAACCAGAGAGGCAGTCAGCCAGGGACCTAGCTGCAGTGAGAGGAGCCCCAAGTTTAGAGAGAGGCCCAGGGTGAAAGGGAACTACACAGTCCAGTGCACAAGGGAAGGCTGCACACCATCAGTTTAATGGCTCGTGTAAGTCACTGGAGAAAACAGCAGACTTATATCCTGTCGGATGAGGCCTCAGGTACTTCAATGGTACAGGCAGAGAATTGAGCCCAATGGTAGCAAGGGTGAAAAAGTCACTAGTCGGGACATTGAGTTGCAATGAACAAATGTACCACAGAAATATCACCAGGCACAGTGATGAATTATGCTCCACTGCTCTTCATACACCATGGCCGGCTCTGTGCAATGGCGTCCTGTAGCACTGAATTTATTCATGGAGTTCAAGGTCATCTAGTTTGTCCTGTATAACACAGGGCAAAGAATTTCACCAAATTATCCCTGTATGGAGACCAATAACGTGTTTGACATCCATTCTTGATACAAAGACATCAAGAGATGAAGAATCCACCACTTTCCTTGGTAGTTTGTTCCAATGGTTAATCATTCTCCCCTTTAAAAATGTATGCCTATTTTTAATTTGAATTGTTCTGGCTTTAGCTTTGAGCCATCAAATCACCTCCATACTCCTACTCATTGCTCCCATTTCTACATCCAAGGGTCACGTTAGACTTTTTTGCCACAGTGTCAAACTGACAGCTTAGGTTGCATTGTTTGCCCACTGTCTCCTTTTCAGAGTCATTGCTTTCCAGGAACAGTCCCCCATTCTGTAGGAGACATTTGCTCCTAGATTTCTGACCTTGCATCTGGCTATATTAAAACACATTTGTTTGAAAGGGACCAACTTTCCAAATGATCCAGATATTGCTGTATGACTGCCCTGTCTTCATCGTTATTTGCCATTCCACCAATTTTTGTGTAATCTGCAAATTTTATCAGTAATGGTTCTTTTTACTTTTACTTCCAGATCATTGATGAAACTGTTGAAAGCAGTAGCCTTAGAACAAATCCATTTGTAACCTCTCTAGAAACACCCTCCATTTGATGGCGATACTCAACTGACAACTGTTGTTAGTGTTTCTAGTGCTGCTGTTCTTGGAGCATCTGTGTATTCTGCACCAGCGTAGACTGTTGATTCAGCACACCTCAATGTTACTCCTAAAGAACGCCTGTAGGCTCAGTTCAATGGCGAAGGCTCAGCAAAGGTTTATTGTCAACAAAGCACGGTATCAGAGCCCCACATACCAAGCTGCAGGTTCACTAATGCATTTTCTGCACTTTATTACTTCCAATTTAAATTGATTGCTACTTGATTTCCCTTTTTCCATTTGTTTATATATTTCTAATTGCTGCCTTTATTTCCCCTCTTAACCAAGATGGGCTTTTAACCCAAGTTTTCCTCTTTTGTGATTGTAGAATTGTGGCTCTTTTGGACATGTAATGAACTCTTCTTAAGCAACTACCAATTTTCATTCATATTTTTGTGTCTAAAGGTTTTCTCCCAGTCAGTTTCACTCATAATATTCTTCAGCTTTGGAAAATTATCCCTTTTGAAGTACTTAGCATATACCTTTCTGGTTGGGTCTGTCCTCTTATTGCTCATACTAAATATAAACAGCATGTAATATGGTGAGGGCACATTCATTCCTTATCCTTAAGGGTTCCTTATGTCAGGACCAGCAGATACAAGCACAACCCCAACAGCCTGGGGTCCTATATGTAAAGGACGTTGAGATCTGTGGGTAAAAGGCACTAGTTGCTCCCCAACTGCACCCTTTGCAGGTATGCTGTGAAGGTGACAGGTGTCAGATGCCAGTGTTTTGACTTGTGCAGGACTGGAAGAGGGACTCTAGATAGGACAGGTGTCTATGAAGTTTCTGCATCTCACTGGATTTTATCTCCCCCTTACCACATTTTGGAGGAAATATGTTTTCTCTTGCATTGACCTTTTCTATTTCTGGATCTCAGTAGAAACTCCAGTGTCCTTGTGCATGCTTATAAATATTAGATTTTCTCAGGCAGGAACTTATTCCCTGAGACTAAAGTTTTATGCATGTACACTCACATGTATAAAATATATGTACCCACACAAACAGTATATGTAGTTACATTTTAATTATATCAGGATAAGAAAGAGTTAAATAGTAATAGGAGCAAAATATTATAATTTTACTGCTGAGGCAGCATGGACAGATGTTACTGAGAGTACAATTAATACTACACTCATACCCTTAAGCCAGAAAGAGTCATACCTAATTCCTGGCAGGTTATATAAAGAAACCCATTATTAGAGACCCCTGGGAAATGAAGGGGGAGGAGTAAAAAGTGTTTTTTCTGACACTATGGTATAACTGAAGGACTACCCCAGGACAAAGAGACATGTGCTGCAGTCTGAAGTCATGGCAGTGAGGTAACCTAATGTGCCAGTGAGTGGAGTAGCTTGGCACTAGTCTGGGCTAACTGGATCCCTCCTGCCCAACTCACCATGTGCTCACCAAAGTCAAGTTAATCTTAATTGTATTGTATTTCTCATGTCCATGTAAATGGAGAACTGGGCTGTTGCTATGTGATATGTTATGGATCAGATTCATGAAAACTTAACGGCTGCTAGTGGTTACTGAGGATGTGTCTGGGATGCTAACAGTGGAGTAAGAACCAGCAAAGCACTAAGGACAAAATAAATGAGATGGGAAGGCAGGTTGGCTACTGATGAAGCAGGAGAGCGCAACAGCCCTACTATAAGTGAGAATGCACACGTCTCATCGAGGCCACGTCACGTGCAGCCACGCAACCCCCTTAGCCACCCAGACTGCTTCCCCAGGACCTGTCCAGTCTCCACTGGGACCTGAGCACTCCCATTTCTAGACATTCTTCAGACATAGTTATTCTGTATGGTGCTTCTAGCTATGCTGCATAGAGCTGTTTATAGAGACTTCATTCCCATTGGATATGACTAACTTCTGAGTCATTTATTGCCATCAATCTTTTGCAAAATAGGTTCAATGCCCAAATAATGTCTGTATCTACTTGTGTGGGTAGATTACAACTCCTCCTCCCATGTGAAATGGTGGAGTGACGGAGGGAATTTTTTCAAATTAACTACAGTTTGAATCTTATTAATTTTGGACTAGATTCACAAAAGGACTTAGGCATCTAACTGCCATTTTAGGCAACTATATTCCAGAATGAAGCCCTACCGGGATTCACAAACCCCATGATCTGCCACTGAAGCCAGTAGGTGTCACAACTTACTTGGCACCTAAATTTTTGCAGTAAGCATTCTCTATGTGCCTACATTTCTGCATGTGCACTGCAGCCCCACCCCAGGCCTCCGGATACCTAGGCCCCAGAATGATGCATGAGCTGGGGGAATATAGGCATTCCTCTGCCAAAGTTGCCTGTGGGGGTTGATCCATTAAGTGTGGTCATAGCTCATCTACTAAGTTGGACCGCTATAGGGGAGCTTATGTAAAATGGCTGGGTGGCAGAGAGGACCTCCCTTCTAACTTTCAGCTTGCTGGTTAGAGTACTCAACCTGGATGTTGTGAGATGTCCCCCCTCTACCTGAGAGGAAGAAGAGATTTGAACAGGGTTGTACTAGCATTCAGGTGAGTGCCTACACACAAGGCAAGGGGATATTCTGATGTGGGTCTCCATCAGTCTCTGCTGTTGAAGCTGTTCCATTGTGAATAAATAATTTTAAAAAGTCATTGGAACAGGGAGACTAAATCCTGGGTCTCCCAAGTAGCGCTCTAACCATCAGGATAGAGAGTCATTCTCATGCTTGAGATCTTTCTTGCTCTGGCCAAGTGACTCATTATTTATTTATAGTAGAACAGGTTCAACAGGACAGACGGAAGGAGCCCCCCCATATCAGAATATCCCATATATAGCAGGTGAGTGGGGCACTCACCTGAGAGATGGCAGATAAGGCTTGAGCTGGAAATCTTTCATATCCCAGGTGAATACCCTAACCACTTGCTAAAAGTTATGAGGGAGCGTCTCCTTGCAAAAATGGTGTAGTCACCTAACCACAAGAGAGAGTTTGCAGCTGAAAATCCCAAGCAAAGCGAGGTGCTGAACTTCCTGAGTGGAGCAGAGCTTAGGACACCTCCCTCTTCTTGGAATCTCCCATTGGCTAATTGAGATGGGGAACTGCCTAGCATGCTAGCTTTTGCGAATCCCATTCTGGGATGCCTGTCTCTCCCCATTCATTGTACAGGGAGTCCCAGTGCCTGACTTAGACTTCATTAATCCCAGTGATTTTCTAGGCACCTGAAAGTTAGATGTGGTGATGCTGAGTGGCACCATGCCTAAGTTTCTTTGTGAATCTAGCCCTTTCTGTGCATGCTACTGCCTCTCTTTGTTATGTCTATCTGGTTTCTGGTCACACTGCAGCCAGTGGGAGCCAGAATTAAGTCCTTCTCCAAAATAAACAATTAGGGAAAAATAACCATCTGTAATTCCAATAGCAGCCCTAGTTCTAAGCATCCAGGCTGGCTATATGTCCATGGTAGTCTTTTTGTTGTGATGTTACTGTCCTGTGTAGTCACTAAACTCATCAATAAAATCTTTTTTAAAGCAACATTTGGTTTAAAAGTCTGAGAGGAAAATGAGTGTTAAAGTAATTAGATTTCCAGTCCCAGTTTCCATGTGAGGATATAATTGGAACATTTGTTCCAATTACATTTGCTTTATAGTTCAGTATGAATTTTCAATAGATAGGTTTGAGATAAGAAAGCAGCAATTCAAATGCAATTATATAAACAGTACGCTCAGCCTGGTATTAGCTTGGAGAGTATAAAGCACGGTGAGAGCTTGTGCTAGGTCAGAGCCTCTCCAACTCCACAATGCAGACTCAGGCTCCTGTATTGAGGAAAGATTCAGCTGCCAACAGGTTGGTCTTTGCAAGTTCAGCATTGTTGCCGCTACTGGGTGTTGTAAACTGGACAACATAATGGCTTTGGCTGAAGAAACTAGACGCTGAGAGAATTCAGAGGGTGATGTCCATAAATTTGTAGACACTGTCAGTTCAACTTTGTACTTTGGAGGCTGTTGAGCAGACCTTGGAGCTAATAAGAGCTTCATTCTAGGGATCCCTCAGCATGTATGGGAAAGGTCAGCAGCTCTGGTAGATGGTTGATTGAGTTGAACTCTTTACTGATCTGTCATTTGTTGTCATTTACAAGAATGTTACTTAATTACTGGCAGTGTGCATATCTTGCCAGCTCCAGTCAGTGGGCCTCTAATTAAAACAGCCAATTGGAGTGTCAGAAATGTGATGATGTAGTCTGTCTACACAGCCATTTCTTTTCATTCTTTCACCATTTTATAGGACTCGCTTTCTTTAAAGCCAATGGGATTATTTTAGGTTTTGTGTTTGAACTCTAGAGCTCATTGCTTCTTTCATGTGTCACATTTCTTAGATCCTTTAGTAGGGAGGGTTGGGGAAACTTCCTGCTATTTTATTGTATTAGCATTTTAGGACTCATTAACAGAAAGCTCCATGTAATGGGATTTAATAGGAGGAAGTGAACATGAGATTTGCCTCATTGTTCCATGTTTTGGCACCCTGCCTCTGGCATCAGTCAGTACTATTTCAAATAAAAGACTGAGGGTAGTGGAACTTTGTCAGGTTCTTGTTAGATATAATTTCATTGTCTTTCCCTTTTGTGAATAATATAACTGGTTCCCCAGTGGCTTTTCAGAACATGGCAGAAGGTCACATCTAATGCTTTCTCCTTTGATATTTTGTCTTTTCATCTAGCATGAGTCCCATCTTTCTGATGTCCCTTCTCTTTGGCCTGACTTTTGGGCAGGCAATGTCTTTTTGTGCGCCCACTGAGTATATCATCCACGTGGAGAAGAGAGAATGTGCCTACTGCCTGGCCATCAACACAACCATCTGTGCTGGATTCTGCATGACACGGGTACCAGGCGCTATTCTGTTCTAGGCGGGTGCTTCTATTGTGCCCACTGCTGTGGTATGAACATCTGAGCTCACTCATTACTTCCTCTAGAAAATCAGCGGGACAAACCATTCATCTCTTACGTTATTTACAATAGATAGAAAATCACACACTTGCCACATTTGGCAAATCATTCAGACACAGAGGCGATGAGGGGAGGGAGGAGAAGCATTCTGATGGATCTGGTGCCTATAGCAAAAATGTTGTAGTAGAAGATTGGCGGCTGCTGCTCACATTGCAATGGCTTCTTCTCCTATGAATTTGGGGGTTAGGAGGGAAAAGAGGTTCTTCTCCCACTTAATGAGGGACAGAATTTTTTTTAAATTACTAAGCGAATTGTTTCAGTAACTTCTGCCTCATCATGTGTGCAGCTGGTAAGTCAATGCACTGATCACAGTGATGGCAGCACAGTGTGGGGAGAGAGGTGTCTCTTACATAGGCAGGTCCCTTGCTACCCTTAGAGCCAGCACCTAAAATTCCACCCTTAAACCAATAGGCAGTCAGTGCAGGTCACGGAGCTCTGGTGTCACTTGTGGGTTTACCTCTGAGCCAGGCAGCAGGTGCAGCATAATGTGGAAATCTTCATAGAGATGTGGAGACTATTCACATGCAGATTTTCAGTGAGGGATCTCAGTAGAACTACACTAGAAATGCAGCCATTAGTCTGCAGGGAAAGATAACTGCCTTCTGAACACAATCAGAATGACTCAGGGAGGTCTTGAGTCACTGGGTCACTTGTGTATCCTTCAGTAAAACAGAATAACATCTCTCTTTTTTTTTGTAGGACAGCAATGGTAAGAAGTTGCTCCTCAAAAGCGCCCTGTCCCAGGATGTGTGCACGTATAAAGACCTGGTGTACAGAACAGTGGTACTCCCTGGCTGCCCACGACACATCGTCCCCTATTACTCTTACCCAGTGGCGACGAACTGCAAGTGTGGTAAATGTAACACTGATTACAGTGACTGCATTCATGAGACAGTCAGGACAGACTATTGCACTAAACCACAGAAGTCCTATAATGTGTGAGCTTATTACTGAATGAGGTAGAAATGTACCTTCTGCCCCACAGTTAGCTAGTGGCTATCTATAGCTGAATCATGAATAAAATTGTATTTCACAACAGATCTGCAAGTTGGTCTGTAGCATTTTTTAATCTAAAGGAATCCTAGCAAATTTACTGTTGTATCACCTTGATAGGACAAAGCAACTGCAACACTGGAGGGCACTGGTGGAAGTGAAGGGAGGCAAAAAGGATAAAAATAATTGGTGTGCAGGGAGGAGTTAGGCATTGCTAGGGGGATGCGCCCTGGCCTATTGGATGATGTTCTAAGATGTGGTGATGCTGCTGTGTCATCTCCAGGCTCAACACCTGATTGTGATGATTTATTTTTGATCTGTTCCATGCCCTTTCGTGCCTTCTAGACTGGGTCACTGCAGTGTGCTCATTTCCACTTTGCTCTCAGGTGCTGACATCCATGTATACAGCTTAATACTGTCTGTCTGAGAGATGCCTCTCCCCATGTGTAGTGTCCTTGGGTGCGCAAGCTCTATGTCCGTGGCTTTAAACATCTGGGGCTGGGAATTCCAGAATCAAGGACTTTGCATTGAAAAACCCCCTTCCCCACTTGACTGAAGGAGCCTGAGTTTGTTGAGCTTTATGGCTTATCTGTAATTTATGTTGAAGGGTAAAGGGAGTGGGGGCAAGTTGAACCCTCTGTTTGAGTTTTGTTTGTAAAGATTACATGAAATGTGGTTCGGACATAAAGGGCTTGGTCACTTTAAAAAAATAAATAGAATAGGTGGCACATGGTCCTCTCCCAATGTACATTAAGTGGAATTACACATGCCCTGCTCCTCAATTTGGAGTCTACACCCACTCTGTGCACAGTAAGTGGCAGCCTTCTTTTAGGTGCTGAGCAGGCATGGGTGAGGAGTCTGTGCCCACTCGTAGGGAAGTAAGAGTAGGTGAATGAATGAATTTTTGCCTCACTATGAACCCCTGCAGATGTGAAACTGCAACAGGTGGCTCAATGGTAAGCTATAAATAAAACAGACCAAGCACTCTGTGAAAGGGCTAGGTAGTTTCTAGCAGGTGGTTCACAGCAGGGGAAAAAAGCCGCAGAACCCACTTATGGAATTTTACATCCCTAGCATTCACACATCTATTTTATTATCAGAATTGGAGAAGTCAGAGATGGAAGAAGGCCATTCAGTCCCTTCTCTCCTCTGCCCAAGCCAATCTCACTCCTTTCATTTATCCAAGGACTGTGGAGGGGGGGGGGGGCCACACAGGGCTGCAGCAAAGAAAAAATATGCTTCATTAATACAGAAGGATCACTAGCTTTTGCTGCAAGGTGGTATGGCAGGCACAGGGTACGGATGGCTTCTACAAAGTTGCCATTAATGTCATAGAGGGCTTCAAGCTTTCCTTGCACCATATACATTTAAATTGCAGACTGCACACAATGGATTTGGGGAAGGGGCCAAAGATACTGACCAGTTTATTCCTCTGCAAACAACAAAGAAAAAACTGGGATCAGCCATTACATGAGCTCACTGCCAAGGAAAAGAACTGGCTAAATATAATCAAAGGTAATATTTTAACATGGTTAAAAACTCCTGATCCAGTTTTATCCTCAGGTGCAGCTCCTAGCAAATTCAGTGGTTGCACTGTATGTTTGTTTGAGGGAAGAACTGGTCTTTTATTGCTGAGAAGTTCAAGTATGGAGTGAGTTATGCTAACAAGTTCAAGTAGCACCTATGTCTGCTGAACAATTAGGGTTTCTGAGCATACAAAATCCATTTGGGGCTCACTCTAGAACCCATATTGTAAGTGATAAGTAGGCCTTGTACAGGATGAATTTCATACTGAGTGCCTATCTAGGATAGTTTGCCTACTATGCATGTATGGTCTGAAATGGCTTCTGTTTTTAGCAGTCACCAAAGCAACCACCTTCTTTACAAGGAAATGCTCCAAGTTGTAAACTATGACTTTTTATAAGCCATAGCCTTCTGTTCCCAATTAATTGTAAAGAGTGAATTAATGAAACAGCATTGATGGAACAGAGAACAAAGAGAAATACCAAGACAGACCTTTCTAGTCCGGTAGCTGGATAATCAAGTGCAGCTAATAGAGAAAGACTTGGCTCCAAACCCATTAGAAAATGTGTTGTTCATGTTCCCTTCATTAAATAAATATATATATATATATATTCCTTCAACAGCATGTCCTTAACCTCCATGTAAGACTGAAGTCTTTAACCTGCCCCATTAAATTCCACCACCTACTGAAGTTCCAAATCAACTACCCCTAATGTCTGAGCATGCTACCCTCTGAAAAGTACACAAAATTCAGTAAAGCAGCAATGGTTGTTTCACATATAGAGATTTATGTCTCTTAGAACCCTTAGCACTGGGAGACATTATCATACACTAACAATATGCAGACTCCTGTACTGCACTGGTTGTTGGTGTCACAAGTCTGACTCTTGGTGCAAACGGATAATAGGAAATGCCATGAAAAGGAGACGTACAGCATCCCCAAGCTGGGGTGCAACACTGAGCAGCAGCCCAGGGGATACGTTGTCCCAACTTTCCATTAACTTTAGTTGATTAGTAACAGTGTATTCAGGGAACCCCAGATTCACTAAGAATGTAAGTAAATCAATCTGAGTTGCCATTTGTTTCTTGGGTCCTCTCTATATCGATGATTCTTGCAGGTTCTGTTCCAACATGTCCATGGCATGAGGAGTTAGGATGAAAATCTGCCATATTGGGAAAGCTCAACAAGGAACTCCCCTACTCCAATAAAGTAAATGACTTGGGATACCAAAGAGAGGAGCAGTGACTAATGCTCTGCAGCCAGCCCCTCTCAGGAAGGCAGAGGGACCCTCCTTCCATCAAATTTTCCTGAAAATAGAAGACAATATGTATTGGTTTTGTTACCAGGCTCTCAAACATGTCATTTACCACAGAACGGTTTTCCCTATACACATTCAGCTTTCATGACAGAGAGAGAAAAAACACAAATGTAAACTTGTGGCAGCAGCATGTCTATCTAATTCAGAACTAATGCTTCACAATCTATTAAAAGCTAAGAATATATTCTAATGGTAGGAGTCCTTAGATCACTGGCAAGACAGACTTCCACCCCCATGCCACTGCACTGAAATCAGTGGAATTTAGAAACCTAAATGCCTTTGATCTAGGTGAAAGTGTATTGACATTTATATCATGGCAGTGAGCTAAGAATGGCTCCCACTTGTATAGCTCACCAGTGCCATTTCCCTCATGGGTGCACACAGCTGTCGATACCTAGGTGGCAACAATACAATGATGAAAGATATCACCACATTTTTGTTGGTGATAAGATGTTTGAGCCGAGGCAGTTCATATACAGGCAGTGGCTGATTCTCAGTACTTCTGTACTGAGGGACAAGACTGTTATTACTTGTGTTTTATCAAATAAGAAAAACGAATTCACATTCAGCAAAAAATATCCCATTTATAAATGAATTGGAATATTAACTCCTGGGCTGTCTGCCTAGTGCTACAAAACTAGTTCACCATTAAGAACTCACTGATCTCCACAATTACACAAAATGACTCAAAGCCACAAAGAGTACAATTTTCAAGGCTGCCCAAGTCATACAAACCCCTAATTAGTCACTTTTGAAAAATATTGCCCATCATCATTCTTCATTTGTTACCTTACACAGTCAACTAGTCCACTGTAGCTGTCCTCACTTGTTCCTTTGGTTAGTGACTGGAGCTGTGTCTTTATTATTGGAAAATCAAAATGTTCCATGGTAAAGCATAGTGTTGGCTTGAACAGATTTATACAGGCAGGGCCAGGAAAGGACCCCTGAATGCTCTTTGAAGACACACATCTTGTCAGTTATCCATACTAAGACTTTTCTTGCTTTATTTTAGTAGACAGCAGAGACCAGAATGATCTCCTCTGCCCCATACCCAGAAAGATGAAGGCAAGTGTGTTAAATGCTGTTTGACTCCCCTTCTAGCCTAAAAAAAGTGCCACGTATTTCCACTGACCTGGTTGAACACTGAACAGTTATTTGTATTGTACGAGAACATACGGACTGCAACACTGATCAGACCATTGGTCTGTCCAGTCTTGCCTTCTGCAATAGCCAACACTTAATGCTTCAAAAAAGGCAAAAAGACTATAATACACCTACCAAGATATTCCTCCTCCTTTCCAAATCAATAGGAAGTTTCATTCATGTCTGTGTGAAGTAGCATATATTGACCTTTAATTTCCATTGAGTTTTCCTGGAGCCATCAGCATTCTTTGTTGGGACATCCTAACAGCACTCAAGGACTGTTTTTAAGGTCCCATTGATACAGCCACCCTCCTCAAAAACACCTCTTCACTACTCTATGGTACAGCTGTTGAGGTGCCTATCTCAAAGCACAGACACGAAGGGGATTGTTCTTCAAGTGACAGTCCCTATGTGGATTCCAAACGTGTTATAAAAAGCCTCTTACCATCACACGGATTGACACAGACTGCTGCCACAGAGCCAGCCACATAACCAGCTAGAAATAACTGATAAACTGGGGCTCTGTCATCCAGAGACTCCTGTCCTCCTCTGTTCAAATGTGCAAATAATGGAAAGTAGATGATGGAGAAGGAAACATCCCTGAGAAAAGAAGACACCATGTTTACATAACACCCCTTGATTAGCAGTTCTCACCAATGAAAGGAGAAAATGAGAAATGTACCATTACCACCTCAATAAAATGGCTCCAAGACTCCTGTAGAGTCCCTTAATGCCTTGCGTATGCAGAAGTGCATCTGCTATGTGTGTAGCAGATAATCTGTTTGTAAGTGCAGCAGGTCCAATGTCGTATGCTCTAGTCAGGGGAGAGCTGACAGCTACAAGTTTGCAGCCAGAACTTGAACAGTGGATTCCACTCACAAGCTGTTGAGATGCTGAAACGAAGCCGGAAATGTCAAGCTTACTTATTTCCTGGCACTCTTCCTGAAGTTTCAGATCTAGTTCTTCATCCTCAGTTCAGATGAGGCTGGAGAATCTGGTCATGGCCACCACCCAAATCACTTTCTTACAAGAACTGGCCTGCACTCAAGAAGTCTCATACCAAAGCTGCTACTTCTCGCTGATCTTTCCCAACCACTGAACGGTGCTCCGACCTGACAAGACATTGCCAATTCTGTATTACCACACCCAATCAGCCACAACAGACTGACAGAAGATCAGTACAAGATTCCTCTTTGTCCTCCATTCCCCTGGGGCCAAAGTGTTGTACAGTACAAAGATTGATCTGCACTGATTGTTGCTCTCAGGCAGTGAGAGCTAAAACTTGAAATAATATTAACAGCTCCATCATTCATGACTTCAGAGATCTGTGTGTAAATGAAAATGTGGCTCTTTAGCACAGACACATTAGCACCCAGAAATTGACACTCAAAGCCAAGCACGTTGTAAATGCGGGGGATAAGTGCTCAATTACCTACTCTCTCTGATTCCTGTAGTTGGATTGTCAGCATCTCCATGGGAGTGGTGATGATGACCTGGCATGTTCCAGCACCACGGCCTGCCACCATCTCTCTGGATATGGCCAGTCCCGTTCTAAAATGGAGACAAAAAGATTATGGGATAGCAATCTCTGTTTAGACCACAAATCATACAGGAGCAACAGGATACCTCACTGCCAATCTCATCATCTGTAACCTTATTCCAATCCAGAGTCTAAAAGGTAGTAACTTCTTCCAATCAACAAGTTAATTACCTGGCACTATGCCCAACACTGTGCTGCATCTGCTACTTAACATCTTGGGCAGCATAAGGTGCTGTATATAACTAGCAGTTTTGTTAAACAGCTGAGTTACTTTCAGTTCTGTTCAAAGCAAGGGGGGAAAGTTAAGATTAATAAAACTGGCAGAAAAAGCCATGTCTACCCTATGAGAAGAAGTTTTCTTCATTTTCCTCCACCATACATGTTTTATGCTTCTAGCTGCTGTGTAATGATGGCCAAACATTACAAGTGTGTTTGCAACCTAACAGGCTATTGTAATATTACATTGTTATGAACATATTAGTTCAGTTTTTAAAACTTTACTAATTTTGTGCCCTTCTGTACACATGTTCAGAGTTCGAGAGAAGCTGGCCTCCATTTATTTCAGCAGGACTACCTGATGTGGGACTGCCTTGGTCTTACCTCTGGAAGCCGTTCCACTTTAATTAACTAATAACAGCCAAAGCAGAAGTCAAGTGTAAGAAGCCCTCAATGATAGGGGGATTTGGGTACTAACCTGGGCAGTTGGAACCTGTGGGTCAATTCCTCCAGCTCTGGGGTGGGGAGTTGAGTGAGCTTTTTCTCTTGAAATTGTTGTAATTAACTATTAACTGGGCCAAGCATAATTCGAGAAACCCTGTGTGGTGCAGTGGTTAGAGTACCCTACTAGGGGGTGGAAGTTCCAGGTTCAATTCTGCCTTGTGAGAAATACCCTTTTCTCTTGAAGCTCTTCCACTGTAATTAACTATGAATTGGGCCAAAGGACACTTCCCAAAAGAGATGCCTTCTGTGGTGTAGTGGTTGGGGCTCTTGTATGGGCTGTTAGAGTACCTGCTTCAATCCTTGCTGTGAACAAGGGGTTTACAATGCGTATCAGCTGCCTGCAGGGCTGTTTTATTTAAATATTCCTTGAGCTACATTAAAAAAGAACAGGAGTACTTGTACAGACTAACACGGCTGCTACTCTGAAACCTGTCATTAAAAAAGAAATCACTCTCTTGTCCCCTGTGGCTAGGCTACCCACCCAGGCAGTGGGAGACCCCAGGTCCATTCTTAACAGGCTGAGAGAGGTGTTGGAATAAGCTCTTGCATTTTTGAGGTCAGCAGCCTATCAAGCAATTCTGAGCCTTTCACTGGCCCAATTCATAGTTCATTAAACCGGAACAGCTTCAAGCAGCTGGGCATTCCCTGTCGAAAGCCCTTCTCCTCGGCAAGCAGAGGTGGCAATTGAACCAGGGTGTTCCACTGCCCAGCAGAGCTCTCCTAACTACCGTTCTGTAGCAGGCTTCTTGTGCTTTGCTATTGCTTCACACAAGTCATACAATTGAAGTGGAACAGCGTCAAAAAGAGCAGCCCACACCAGCCTGTCCTTTAGCTCAGCAATTAAGGCACTCGCTTGAGAGATGCCAGACCCCCTTTTACAGACTTTCTGCTCATCAAGCAGATGGGGGAAGTGACCCATGGTCTCCCACATCAGGTCCCTAATCACCAGGATGGGGGCAGACAGCAGGCTTCTGCTGCCTTCCCCCCACTGGTTTTGTATGGTGTTGAGGTGTCTATGGGTGTGTGAGAGGCACTGTGGAGCTCCCTTTCCTCTGCACACCTGCGGGGGTGGGTGTGGAGAGAAGAGCTCTAAACTCCGTCTCCACCCACTTCTCTGGGTGCTCAGCTGCTGTGTTCAGCCATCTTTTCCCATGCCGTTGAAAGCTGAAGTGGATTCACATCCACTGGCCACATAAGGCACAATGTCTATTCCCACCTCCAAGAACAGAGCAATATTTTGGGCACATCAATGCAACCTGAGTCCAAGCTCCACAGTAGCATCCTGTTTGCTTTGCATGATCAACATACAAGAACATGAGTGACTCTGTTTGCTTGTGATGTGCTTTGGATTCTGGTATTGCAGCATGGGTGCCAGGCCCTACTCTCACTGCTCGTGCAATGTCATGAAACTCACCAGCAAGGTGACAGGCTCTGCTTACACATCACGGTCCAGTCATCAAGGAGACTGTTTTATTCTTTGACTTTGAATGCTTCGGATTAAACCCTACCCCCTATGTAGACATACCCTATCACAGTGGGTCTCAAACTTTTTTACTGGAGACCCCTTTCACATCACAAGCCTCTGAGTGTGACCCCCCCTCCCCAATAAATTAAACACACTTTTTAATATATTTAACACCATTATAAATGCTGGATGCAAGTGGGGTTTGGGGTGGAGGCTGACAGCTTGTAACCCCCCCATGTAATGACCTTGTGACCCCGAGGGGTCCTGACCCCCCAGTTTGAGAACCCCTGCCCTATCATTTCAGTTACATCAGCTGGCTCCAGTACCAACACACTGTATCAAAGGCAAAGCCACTGGGCCAAAGTATTGTGTCTTCTCGCCAGGCTCTGCCCAGTCCCCTCCCACACTGTTGCCTGGAGTTTATTGGCAAAGGCTTAGGCCTGCTCTGCTCTAGAGAAGGTATCCAGGGCTGTAATTATTTTACCCCTGTAGCTACACTGGATTGAGCCCTAGTGTGGATGCAAGTTTATCAGTCCCAAGGTGTTGGCTAGCCACACAGCTCGTTTTGCTTCCTAAACCAGACTAAACGTTCGTGCTGATATCGCTGCAGCCACACTGGGCTTGGGGGAAGAGCTTATGGAGCCGGGTGTTGCTTCGTTAACTGCACTGGACTAGTTAACGTGGCCCTGCTTTTGAGTGTAGACAAGCCCTTAACTGAGCTGGTTTTCACCATGGTGCCCATCACATCAGGAATCAGAAGTCTTGTGATTTGTTTTCTGCGGTGATGGTTTGCACCTCATTACAGTGGGGCAATAACCCAAACAATGGAATTTTGTACAGCCCTTTTCCCCCGCTGAAGAAGGAAAGCTTGGTGCAGGCTTATCTGTGGTGCCACACCAGGGTTGGGGGATGAGCTAGCAGTGCGTGTTGTGGTCAAGTGTTCCTCACCTACGGCCCTCCAATAAGGAGTAGAGATTAATAAGCAAAGTCCGCTAAAATCCACCCATTTAGGGAGTGTGGCTTGAAACCTGCGCTGGCATAACAAGGAACCAAGTAGAGTGTAGAGGCTCCGGAGCTGGGGGGCCACCCACGCCCAGCCACTTTGAAGCATGTGTTGGGGTTGCCACCTAGTCGTGGCTGGGCTGGTTTTTCTACTGCCTTGCTGGTTGCAATATATCCCTTGTTAAACACTGGCACATTGCAACTGTAAGCTGCAGGTGTGCACGGCTGCAATGGGAGTCGTACAGCAATCTCCATACTCTGGCAGACAGGCCACGTGGCCAGGAGCATGGGCATCATGGCACCCGGGGCCCACTTTAAGTGCTGGGCCCTCAAGGTGCCAAAACTGCAGCAGCTGAGGTTCGTGCTCCTCTTGGCACCGGGATCTTGGCAGCAGGCTGGCCGGGCCCAAGGCTCAGCAGCAGGGGGGTGAGGAGTGGGATGGGAGGCAGGGGCAGTGGGGGGCTGAGGCTCCTGGGAGTGCATGGGTCATGGGGGGAAGGCAGGGGCTCCTGTTTCTAGGGGACCGCAGGGAGCTTCTCCTCTCTCAAGTGCTGAGAAAGGCTCCTGGGAGCGGCTGGGTGTAGGGGCTCATGGGAAGGCAAAGAGCCTTGAACCCAGCTCCCTGCCTGCAATGCGCCTGTGAGAGAGAGGGGGGTCAGGCTGCTAAGAAGGGAAGAGGTGGGTCTTAAATAGCATCTTTAGCCAATCCATTGTGAAGCAGACAGTGTAGTATTTCAGTCTGTTTATATGGTATATGGGAGTTAGGTGAGGAGCCATTTCAGCATATGTATAACTTATTAAAAGACAAATTTTAAGTAGAACTGTATCCTAAACTGCATTACAGTATTGTACTCAATCATTGCATTTCAATGGGAGATTCAACTTCCTTTCTAGGAACAGAACAAACACCTGAAACTCTTACCACAAAAGTGGTCCATAGTCATGCAAGTAGTCCCATTTGTCTTCAATGGGATTGATCAAATGATTAAGGGTTTACAGGATTAGGTTCCAAGTTTGTAAATTGTTCTGGATGAAACTGACAATGCCTGAGCTCTCAGATCAAGAGCGTCATTCGAATAAAGGTGGGCAGATGTGTGATAAGTCAGCTCCGTTGCTAAGATGAGGAACATATTTTCAGCAAAGTTCTTGGCAGATTCCTGAGGCAGCTGGTTGAAGCCTGTCAGTTTCCAGCATTATAATCTTCACTTATTGTTCTCTCACCCACAAAGCCGGAAAATGAGGCATTTATTTTCTTTGTTTTATTGCTCCAGTTCCAGTTAACAAAAGGCAGGTTAGACTAGTTTGGCTGCAAAGAAGAATTTTATGTACACTGGGGACAACACCTGATTCCTGTCAAGCTGCAGAACTGGGCTGACATCAGAATCCAAACATCCTCTGGTCAGTGCAAGCAGAGGCATTCCTCTAATGATTTGGACTTCATGTGATGCAGTTTGGATGTCATGGATAATTCAGACTAATGGGGAGAAACAGAATCAAAAACACAGTTTAAACACCTTCCGTCCCCTGCACCTCTCCTGAGGACTAGCAGGGGCTGCACCCCACCCACCCTGTGGCCCCAGGCAGCCCCTAGTCCCAGGCTGCTGAGACCCAGACCTAGCCTGTCCAGCACGTGCGGCTGGGTGTGAAGAGGGGGCGGGGCAATAACAGCACCGCGGCCCCCAGGGATTCGGTCACGCTCCCAACAGAAACTCGCTTTCGCCTTCCCTGCCAGCCCCACCCGGATACTGTGCACATGCGCAGTACGGCCGATGGATGGCGCTGCCCGGGGTGAATGAGACTAGGGAGAGATAGGGGTATGAGTGACAGGCGCATTAGCCAATAACGTGCGGGAGGGTAGGCGCCATCTCCTCCGGTCCTAACATAGTAGAAACAGCGTCCTGCTCTCGAGCTCACTCACTCGCTTCGGCGCCGTCCGGTTCCG